CAACAGGATGTTTTCTGTATAATTGATCATATGTATTTTTATTACAGAACTACCTCTCATCTTTAAACGTATACTGCCATATCTTGGCAGTTTTAGGTAAATTATTTTAATATACATTTAGCTTAAAAAAAAACAACAACAACTTGTGCAATAATAAAAACTGATTAAAGATATGCACTAAGAATGTAACTCAATATTAAACAAAAATAAATTATGGCGCATTTCTTAGTGTGGGTTTCTATAGAGGACTCTGCGCTCTGTTGAGAAAGTCTTGTTAATGTGTACCTCCTGCACGTGAAGCTGCAGGTCTGTCAGCATGCTCTCCAGCGCCTTCCTCTCAGACACAGCGGTGTTCAGCGCCGCCTCTTTACAGTTCAGCAGGGCTTCAGCTTCCTTCAGTCGGGCCTGAGAGCTGGAGAGGTCAGCGTCCTTCTTGGCATACCTGTGACAGAGAGAGAGAGAGAGAGCAGGATCAGACCGAGCGCACGCTACTACACAAAACAATACCAGCTTTCTCATTACTTTAATTTTTCTGTTTGTTTCCGTGTTCATCAAAAACACAACCTGAATGAGGAGACTGAAGCAGATACAGCAGCCTGATTTCACCGAATCTTAGCGTGTATGGCATCACGAGGCAGTCCGCAACACTCAGCTCAAACACATCCAGTCTCACGCCTAAGCTTCGAGAACGCAGACTAACAACTTACGTTCTTACCGTTTCATTAAAGCTTGTGTATTAAAACAACCTCCGAATGACAACCCTAGCAAACCTTAGTTTCAAAGAGGATTTGTTTGGAAAGGACTCTGGGAACACAGGTTTCCATTTGGATAGTTTTTTGCCCTTTATATAGAATTATTTTTCTTCATATTATATAAGCATGAACACTATAAACGCTACATTAAAAATAAGAGGTGTGTTTATAACTGAATATTGACTGAAATGAGCTTCACTTCTAAAAGCATGCTGGGGTTTTGGCTCGATGATTTGAGGCGTGTTCATGGTCAGGACAGGTCAGCATCGACACCAGCATTAAGACTACACAGATCCCGATTACAGTGCAAGCGCTGAGCTCTTGCTCCGGAGGTGAGCTCAGGATCTGTGGAATGAGAGGAATGTCTCCGACTGCTGAGAGCGGCTGAGGACGCCAGCAGTCGGTCCATACGGTCTGATCAAGCTCGACCGACACTATAGAGCAAACCAAACATGTGTTACACGCATCTGCTCATCTGAAACAAAGAGCTGCTTCACACGGAGACTCCACAGCCGCTGGGGAACTCACAACCTCCAGCTGCTCCACGCCAATGAGACGCGTCAGGCTGAACCCCTGAAAGAAACCCCAGTGAACCACTGCTCCTGTCAATCCACACACACACACACACACCACTGACGGACGAGCGGGGGTTAATTAAACAGCTCTGAAGTGTGAGGGCGGCAGAATCCATCCGGATCAGGCGGACAGACAGTCACAGTTCTGTACTAGAGGGAGCTGTAAGAGGAGCACATGACACTCGAGCACATGACTTGTTGCACAAACACAAACCTTCATGTGCAAAAGCTAAAGAATTCTCCATGGGCTCCATTAACAACTATAAATCCAAGAGGGATCCTGCATGCAGAAATAAAAAAATTCACACAACAAATAATGCATGCAGGCAAATTTCCATCAATTGTAAAACACAGTAAAGGACACATTTAAAAGCCCTTCCTCTCGGCTGGCCCAGAACCGCAGTAACATCTACCGACCCCACCACACTAATTAGCACAATTACATTCAACTAATCACAGCCCTATCAGACCCTGAGAGACATCTTGACCCGGTCTGGACACAACCTGCCTGCTTAAGAACCTGCTTGGTTTTGTATTGTTAGGCATGAGGTGTGAACAGAGAGAGGCTCACGTGTGCTGCAGCTGCTCGTGCTCGCTCGTTATCTTGCCCAGCGCGAGCTGCAGGCGTGCGCGCTCCCGCGCCGTGTCATCCAGCGCCGTGCGCGCGTCCGCCAGCTCGGTCTCGTAGAGCGCTTTGAGGCCACTGGCCTCGCGGCTCCGCACCTCCTCGCGCTCGCTGAGCTGCAGCTGCAGGACGCTGTTCTCGGACTCCAGACGGCGGACCGTGTCGATGTAGGCGGCCAGCCGGTCGTTGAGCTGCTGCAGCTCCTGCTTCTCCTGCAGGCGGGAGATCCGCGCGGGGCTCAGAGGAGTGCTGCTGCCGCGGGACAACGGCTGCTGTCCGGCCGGAGTGCTCGCCATTCTGCCGCTCGACTGAGAGGAAAACCAGGGTCAGTTAATCACGAGCGGCTGCTCCTTCTTCAGCAGACGAGGACTTAATCATAAACATCTGAGCAACTCAAGCAACGCTGCTGATTAGGAACAGGACAAAAACCATTTACCTTCTGACTGATCAAGTACAGAAACCAAGCACCGAGCGAACAGAGTGTAACTCTAACAGATCTGCTTTAAACGCTGCAGCGTCCTGCATCAATATAACAGTAAACTGTGAAGAAATGAGTGAGTGTGAGAGAGTGAGTCTTACTCGGAGTCCGGCCGCGTGAAAGAATGAACTGAACTGAACTAATATGGCCGCTCATCAGACCCACACTGACACGTGACCGCGGACACCCAATCAGACGCCGCCGCGTCATCAGACGCTCAACGGTGCGGGTCGAGACAAAATTCAAACCGCAGAAACCGCGCCGAAAGCAGTTAACGGCACGCGGTCTCATAATAATGAACCGCTCGAGTGAAGCATCAGTGTGAACGGTCTCACATTGACAAGATTAAACACGTTACGAACGACACTTCGCTGTTTGTTTCCATTTTGCAGTAAGATGATCGAGGCGTGTTGAGAGCGCTCAGTGAGACTGCAGTTCTTCAGTATTTTGTCTAGGCTTCTCACTAATGCTGGAAAGAGCGTTTCGAGGGGTCTGCTGGTTTGTAAGCTTGAAATCAGTGATTGCGGGATTTTTCACAGCACTGTCAGTCAGTCGAACTGTTCACATCTGGAGTAATACATCATTCACCTGTATTTCAGTCTGGTATGTGCCACACATCAAAATATGTGTCCCTGCAGCACAAAAGCAGTCTTAAGTCGCTGGGGTATATTTGTAGCAATAGCCAACAATACATTGTATGGGTCACAATTATAGATTTTTCTTTTATGCCAAAAATCATTAGGATATTAAGTAAAGATCATGTTCCATGAAGATATTTAGTAAATTTCCTACCGTAAATATATCAAAACGTAATTTTTGATTAGTAATATGCATTGCTAAGAACTTCATTTGGACAACTTTAAAGATGATTTTCTCAATATTTAGATTTTTTTGCACCCTCAGATTCCAGATTTTCAAATATTGTCCTAACAAACCATACATCAATGGAAAGCTTATTTATTCAGCTTTCAGATGATGCCTAAATCTCAGTTTTGAAAAATGAACACTTATGACTGGTTCTGTGGTCCAGGGTCACACATTAGGGACTGAATCCAGAGGCAGAGCAAGGCAGCCGGGCCTGTGCGCTGGTGATTTCACCCTGCTTTGAGGTTTTATCTAATAATGATCATAATTCTCATGACTTTCCCAGTCTACGATTTGGAGAGATTCAGATTTATATTTGTTTTTCAGGTACCAGTCCTAAATGTTCAGTTTTACCCCAACATAACTGTTAGCATGCATTTGACGTTTTAAAGAAGGTAAACATCAACCTGAAATATGAATGTGGCACACTGGGAAGTGCTAAATAAGAAACGCACCAGCTGTGAACATTTCATCAGATACCTTGATTCGTGTCCAGCCTGGTAATAAGCTGTTTTGATTTAATGGATGTATTTGTATTTTGTGACATAAACATGTCACAGATGAAGCACTTTTATGAAAATCTAGCAGAAAACATCTGTATATTCAACCACATGCAACAGTCAACCCGATGACTGAAGCTACCACAATACATTGATCACAAAACGTTTGCTTTTTAATTTGAGCACGTAGTGAAACGTATCAGCTCAAGAATGTGCATACCTTCAGCTGAACGGCAACATAGAGTGAAAGTAAAACACAAAGTAAAAGAGCAAATCACAGACATACAGTGAAAGAGCAATGTGACAAATGACATGCACCGAAAGCGGAGCTTGAATTTTATATCATACATCAAGCATGTACTGCCTTATTATTGTACAGCGCACCTTTAACAAACGCAGAGAGCATCTCCAATGACTAAAACACAAGCTGTATTCTTCTGAAATAAGTGAATGTATATTTTCTTGCTGCATATAATATTCCATGAACACAGTAATGTATCAAAACATCCAAACAGAAAGATTACAATTAATCAACAACATTCTAAACCAGGCAGGAACTCCTGTAGAAAATCTGTACAGCCTTTGGCTGCTGCTTACAGTCTTTCAATGAGTTCAGCAACCAGTAAAGAGCTATTAAATACAACGTTGTCTTTCATCTTGAATTTAGTCCTTCTGAGCTGTTTTAAGCTACAACTAGAACGGACCGTGAAGCAGGAATCAACATGCACGCTCAAAGAGCTGCGCGTTAGAAAACCTTGAGGTCGGTTGAGTTGTAGATGACAGGGTTGTCCGGCGGGCCCTCAGGGGCCTCCTCCAGGGACCCCAGAGCCTCTTCAGTGTCACGAGCAAACGTTTCTCAGGAGACGTCGTCATGTTCCCGGGGATTGAGCGTGCTGATGGCCTGCTTCATCTTCTTTGCTACTATTCGCTTCCGTCGCTTCTTAGCTGACTTCTTGTTGTTGTATTCTTTCTGGTTCTCCTCACGAAAGATCTCCTGCACGAAGAGAACATGCAAAGAAACACTTCTGAAACAAGGTTTGATTGTTTTTTTCTTATCAGTCTGTATTTTCAGCAATTTCTGCATCCACTCGGTTGAAATGTGTATGAATGGCTACACGTAGATGTGCACACACTGCCGGAGCTGTGCGAGATCACTAACATGCTGCTTTAGTGGCGGTGCTCAATAAACATTTTTTTGTCAACACACTTGTTTCATTTCTATAGGTTTGTAACATACAAGTTGCTTCAGAGGCATAAGGTATTGCAAGTATTACACACAACAATAAAACAGTGAAATGGCATTAAAAAGGAAATTTACATTTGGTACTTAAATCCTTTTAAAAGCAAGAACTTCTGTACTTTGACTTAAGTAAAAATCTGTCTTTACAACTTTCACTCTATGGAGTAATATAAGTAATGGAGTTGAGCACTGTGTCCACCTCTGCTATTAACACCCTTCATGATATTTCCACACAAATGGCAGAGACTGGCTGAAATAAAGCAAAATGGTCAACTGACGATCGCGTGTCTTGAACAAACACTGGCCTGTTATTGTGGATTGTTGCTCTTGATGTAATAATAATTATTAATGTAAATTAATAAAATACATTAGAAAATGTTTCTGAGTCCGGGGAAAAGGCACATCATGTTCTTGACAAAACAAGGTGAGAACAGTTTCTCAACAGAAACGAGTGTGATTAGTTTTAAATAACCAAGGCTGCAAAAAACTCTGTAAATAGAAAACTTTGATGCAACGCGAGATCTGAATGTAATGCAGAAACTGACACTCTTAATTCCTCTCTTTTATTACTACCTCAGTCATAATCAATTTGCTTTAATTGCTCAAGGGCATTTTTGCCTCCATATCTTGAATTTGAGAGCTATTTTTCCAGCCTGGATTGCAGAGAGGCCGTTGTAGCGACGGCAAACTTTAATCGCTGTGATATTTCCATCTACTGCAAACTGTCCCTCCATTTATGTCTACAAACAAATTTTGTACAATAATGAATTGGTATAAAATTCACATTGTGATCAAATTTTATGATTAAATAGTAAGTGTATGTTAAAAGCAGCTGAATATGGCTCTCTCTGTGCACACATCAGTGCATTTATTTATTGTTTTATTATTTTTATTTTAATATTTATTGTATTTATTTTTGATAAATGGAACCAGTTCTGAATAGCCATTTCAAACTCCATTCCTATGTGCTGAAATCTGGATGTAATCTGACACATAACCAGTGGTGGACGAAGTACACAAATCAAGTACTTGAGTAATTTATGAAATGTAGTGAAGTAAAAAGTACGATCTTATGCTTTGGAATGTAGTGAAGTAAAAGTAAAAGTTACTCAAAATAAAACGACTCCAGTAAAGTACAGATACTTGAAAAATGTACTTAAGTACTGTAACGACATAAAACTACTCCGTTACTGTCCACCACTGCACATAGCACAGTGTAGAGTCCTGCAGTCTGTTCAGTGGCTTTCTTCTTCTATCAGATCCTTTAACAGAGAGCAGGATTATATAACAGCTGGACAGTAATGTCAGAACATACCTCACCCAGAAATATAAAGATGTTGTAGAATTTATATAAATCGATTTTTACACATTTATATTAATATAAGTGCGTGTTCAAAAGTTTAGGGTCAGTAAGATTTGTAATGTGTTTTAAAGAAGTCTCTTCTGTTCATCAAGGCTGCATTTATTTAATCAAAAATACAAAAAAAAAAAAAAAAACGTACCATTGTGAAATATTATTCTAATTTAAAACAGCTGTTTTCTATGTGAATCTCTGTTAAACTGTAATGTATTTCTGTGATGCGCAGCTGTATTTTCAGCA